TTTTTCGATTTCTCAATTTTCCTGTTTTTGAATATATCAGTTTTGAGATTTGCCAGTATTTCCATTCTTCAGTTTTTCTTTCATATTTCTATTTTTCGAAATTTCAGTTTTGGGATTTTTTGATTACTTATTATTCAATGTTTCCATTTTACAATTTCTCAATTTTCAGTTTTTCGGTTTCTCAATTTTCGAATGTTTCAGTTATACGTTTTAACAGTTTTTCTCTTCAATTTTACGATTTTTCAATTTTTGACTTTTATAAACTCTCAATTTTACGATTTTTCAATTAATCGATGTTTCCATTTTCAGTTCAATTCTTCAATTTTTCAATATTTCAAATTTTTGAATTTTCAGTTTTTCTATTTTTAACGTTTCGATTTTTCGACTTCACTTTTTTGATTTTTCGATTTTTCAATTTTTTCAATTTTTTAATTTCTCAGTTTTTAGATATTTCAGTTTTGAGATTTTTCAGTTTTTCTTTTATTTTTCAATTTTTCGAAATTGCAGTTTTGGGGTTTTTCAGTTTATTCAACTTCTCGGTTTTACAATTTTTCAATTTCACGATTTTCAATTTTTCGATTTCTCAATTTTCCTATGTTACAATTTTACGTTTTTCTAATTTTTCTCCTCTTCAATTTTACGTTTTTTAAATATTTGGTTTTTGAAATTTTTCATATTTGACTTTTATAAACTCGGTTTTTCATTTTTTCAATTTCTCAATTTTTCAATTTTGTTATTTTTGAATATATCAGTTTTGAGACTTGTCAGTTTTTCCATTCTTCAGTTTTTCTTTCATCTTTCTATTTTTCGAAATTTCAGTTTTGGGATTTTTAGACCATTTATTATTAAATTTTTCGATTTTACAATTTCTCAATTTTCAGTTTTTCGATTTTTCAATTTTCGAATGTTTCAGTTTTACGTTTTAACAGTTTTTCTCCTCTTCAAGTTTACGATTTTTAAATATTTCAATTTTTCAATTTTTGACTTTTATAAACTCCCAATTTTACGATTTTTCAATTAATCATAGTTTCCATTTTCAGTTCTTCAATTCGTCAATTTTTCGATATCTCAGATTTTTGATTTTTCAGTTTTTTTGTTTTTTAAGGTTTCGATTTTTCGATTTCAATTTTCTGATTTTTCGATTTTTCAATTTTTTCAATTTTTCGAAATTTCAGTTTTGGGGTTTTTGAGTTTATTTATTATTCAATTTCTCGGTTTTACAATTTTTCAATTTCACGATTTTCAATTTTTCGATTTCTCAACTTTCCGATGTTACAATTTTACGTTTTTCTAATTTTTGTCCTCTTCAATTATACGACTTTTAAATATTTGGTTTTTGTAATTTTTCAAATTTGACTATTATAAACTCGATTTTTCATTTCTTCAATTCTTCAATTTTTCAATTTTTATGTTTTTGATTTTTCGACTTCACTTTTTTGACTTTTTGATTTCTCAATTTTTCAATTTTTTTGAAATCTCAGTTTTTGGATATTTAAGTTTTGAGATTTTCAGTTTATCCAACCTTTAGTTCTTGTTTCATATTTCAATTTTTTGAAATTTTAGTTTCAGGATTTTCTAGATTATTTATTATTCAGTTTTTCGATTTTCCAATTTTTCAATTTTCAGATGTTTGTTTTACGTTTTTTTAATTTTTCTCCTCAATTTTACGATTTTTCAATATTTCGATTTTTCAATTTTTCAATTTTTGACTTTTCTAAATTATCAATTTTTCGATTTTATAATTTCTCAATTTTCAGTTTTTCGATTTCTCAATTTTCGAATGTTTCAGTTTTACGTTTTAACAGTTTTTCTGCTTTTCAAGTGTACGATTTTTAAATATTGCGATTTTCCAATTTTCGATTTTTATAAATTTTACGATTTTTCAATTAATCGATGTTTCCATTTTCAATTCTTCAATTCTCCAATTTTTTGATATTTCAGATTGTTGATTTTTTAGTTTTTCTATTTTTAAGGTTTCGATTTTGCGACTTCACTTTTTTGATTTTTCGATTTTTCAATTTTTTCATTTTTTTAATTTCTCAGTTTTTAGATATTTCAGTTTTGGGCTTTTTCAGTTTATTTATTATTCAATTTCTCGGTTTTACAATTTTTCAATTTCACGATTTTCAATTTTTCGATTTGTCAACTTTCCGATGATACAATTTTATGTTTTTCTAATTTTTCTCCTCTTCAATTTTACGATTTTTAAATATTTCGTTTTTGCAATTTTTCAAATTTGACTTTTATAAACTCGATTTTTCAATTCTTCAATTCTTCAATTCATCAATTTTTCAATTTTTATGTTTTTGATTTTTCGTCTTCATTTTTCTGACTTTTTGATTTCTCAATTTTCAATTTTTTAAAATCTCAGTTTTTAGATATTTCAGTTTTGGGATTTTTCAGTTTTTCTTTTATTTTTTAGTTTTTCAAAATTTCGTATTTGGGGTTCTTCAGTTTATTTATTATTCAATTTCTCGGTTTTACAATTTTTCAATTTCACGATTTTTCATTTCAATTCTTCAATTTTTCAATTTTTTATGTTTTTGATTTTTCGACTTCACTTTTTTGACTTTTTGATTTCTCAATGTTTCAATTTTTTAAAATCTCAGTTTTGAGATTTTCAATTATCCAACCTTCAGTTTTTGTTTCATTTTTCAATTTTTTTAAATTTTAGTTTCGGGATTTCCCAGATTGTTATTTATTATTCAGTTTTTCGATTTTACAATTATTCAATTTTCAGATGTTTCAGTTTTAATTTTTTTTCATGTTTCTCTTCAATTTTTCAATTTTTGACTTTTCTAAATTCTCAATTTTTCGATTTTTCAATTAATAGATATTTTGATTTTCCCATTTCTTGACTTTCGACTGTTTCGACTTTCCAGTTCTTCACCTCATCAATTTCCCGATTTTTCAATATTTTGATTTTTCAATTTTTTAAGATTTTGATTTTTTGATTTCTCAATTTTGCTGTTTTTGAATATATCAGTTTTGAGATTTGTCAGTTTTTCCAGTCTTCAGTTTTTCTTTCATATTTCTATATTTCGAAATTTCAGTTTTGGGATTTTTAGATTATTTATTATTCAATTTTTCGATTTTACAATTTCTCAATTTTAATTTTTTCGGTTTCTCAATTTTCGAATGTTTCAGTTTTACGTTTTAACAGTTTTTCTCTTCAATTTTACGATTTTTCAATATTTCGATTTTTCAATTTTTGACTTTTATAAATTCTGAATTTTACGGTTTTTCAATTAATCCATGTTTCCATTTTCAGTTCTTCAATTCTTCAGTTTTCGATATTTCAGATTTTTATTTTTCAATGTTTTAAATTTTTTAATGTCTCAGTTTTTAGATATTTCAGTTTTGGGATTTTTCAGTTTTTCTTTTATTTTTTAGGTTTTCAAAATTTCGGATTTGGGGTTCTTCAGTTTATTTGTTATTCAATTTCTCGGTTTTACAATTTTTCAATTTCACGATTTTTCATTTCAATTCTTCAATTTTTCAATTTTTATATGTTTTTGATTTTTCGACTTCACTTTTTTGACTTTTTGATTTCTCAATGTTTCAATTTTTTAAAATCTCAGTTTTGAGATTTTCAGTATATCCAACCTTCAGTTTTTGTTTCATTTTTCAATTTTTTGAAATTTTAGTTTCGGGATTTTCCAGATTATTATTTCGATTTTCCAATTTTTCAACTTTTCGATTTCTCAATTTTCCGATGTTACAATTTTACGTTTTTCTAATTTTTCTCCTAAGTTTTATGATTTTTCAATATTTCGATTTTTCAATTTTTGACTTTTCTAAATTCTCAATTTATCGATTTTACAATTTCTCAAATTTCAGTTTTTTGATTTCTCAACTTTCTAATGTTTCAGTTTTACGTTTTAACAGTTTTTCTGCTCTTCAAGTTTACGATTTTTAAATATTTCGATTTTTCAATTTTTGACTTTTATAAAGTCTGAATTTTACGATTTTTCAATTAATCGATGTTTCCATTTTCAGTTCTTCAATTGTTCAATTTTTCGATATTTCAGATTTTTGATTTTTCAGTTTTTCTATTTTTTAAGGTTTCGATTTTTCGACTTCCCTTTTTTGATTTTTCGATTTTTCAATTTTTTAATTTTTCAATTTTCCGATGTTACAGTTTTACGTTTTTCTAATTTTTCTCCTCTTCAATTTTACGAATTTTAAATATTTGGTTTTTGCAATTTGTCAAATTTTACTTTTATAAACTCGAATTTTCATTTCTTCAATTCTTCAATTTGTTATGTTTTTAATTTTTCGACTTCACTTTGTTGACTTTGATTTCTCAATTTTTTTAAATCTCAGTTTTTGGACATTTAAGTTTTGAGATTTTCAATTTATCCAACCTTCAGTTTTTGTTTCATTTTCCAATTTCTCAATTTTCGGATTTCTCAATTATCAGATGTTTCAGTTTTACATTTTTTTCATTTTTCTTTTCAAACTTACGATTTTTCAATTTTTCAATTTTGTTTTGATGTTTTGATTTTCCCGTTTATTGACTTTCGACTGTTTCGATTTTTCAGTTATTCAACTCGCCAATTTTTCAATTTTTCAGGTTTTTTATTTTTCAATTTTTCAATTTTTTAAGGTTTCATTATTTAGACTTTACTTTTTTGATTTTTTTCGAAATTTCTTAAAGACCGCAGAAAATGTTGAATTCTGGCATATCCAAAGACTTATATTTTTATAACATTTAGAAAATCTGAAAGTTCTGGAAATTTCAAAAATATACTCAATTCTAGAAATTCTAAAGATTTTATTGAATTTGTAAAATATTCCAAACACTGTGAAAGTTAAGTCTTCTCTAAATTTCAAAGATTTCGAGGATTCCAAGGGTGCCAAAACTCTAAGGAAGAGGAGAGGAAAAAAATATGGAAACGCTGACCATAAAAATAAAAAAAAAAGAATTTTCAAAGTTAAAGTTGATAATAATTTTTGGAAGTTGTATTCGTTCTATCATCTAAGTATGTCTTAAATACCTGACTAAATTTTGCAGTGGTGTTGTACACCCCGGAAACGCCAAGAATACCTTTCTTTACAACCCTCTGAAACAAAAAATCCCGTAATTCAACAAACTCCAATAAATCTTCCCATTTCTCGCAATTTGTTCCCAACAATTCCTCAACAAACACCAATCAATACAACAGCTTTATCCGAAATGATCCAATTCTGCGTCAGCTTGCACACAACGCAAAAACACCCCCACCCCACCGTCCAGGTACATCTGATCAAACAACAAACTCGTTACTTTGACCACCCGATCGATCAAAATTCCGAGTAAATGAAGTTTGATGGTCGGCGATTTTCCTCTCCATTCCCAAAATAAAAATAAATGGTCCTTCGGACTTCCTCGAGACAAGGGCAATTTTTCATGATTCTTAGCAGAGATGAAACTCTCGATGCATAATTTCCCGTCTGATTTATAGTTGCTTGATATGAGTTGGCACGGGTAAGCGGTAAACAGCCACAATGTGTTGAAAATACCTGAAGTGCGGTTTTGCAAAGGCTGGTATTAATTTGTTCGATGACGCAAATAAGATGGGCTGTTGCTTTGTCCCCGACTGAATTATTTTCTATTTGTGCGTTGATAAAGTCGGGAAATGAATGTTTCGAAAATCTGGCGAAGAATTTTTGTCGAGTGGCGCTCTTGAATTCGAGGACTGAGTTAGGACATGAATTATTATTAGGCTTGATGAAAGCGAGGAATTTCAGTTAAATTGTCGTCAAGAAAGTCGAGGATTGCTATTCAGGCCGAATGAAGTGGGTCGTGGCGTCATTCTTTTATTAAAGTTTTTATTTACAACGAAATATTCTTCAATCTTCACGTTTTATTTAATAAAGATATTGCATTATTCTGATATAACCCGCTTCGAGAAATTTACACCTACTACGATGTGTTTTAGTAGAGTTTAAGTTAAATTAAATTACTTTTACAAAAGTTCAAGTTCAAAGAATGTCAGATTGTTTACAAATATATGTTTAGGTTTCATTGTGAATAACGTGTTACGTAATTCTAGGTTTAGAAGAAATATGCGATCTATTCCAATAAACAATTCGCAGTTTACACTCTAACTACATTTAAATCATCACTTCGTAAAAATTCTTTCATGTTATATTTTTCCCACTGTTTTAATTCCACTTGTCAGGGAATTTTTTCGGGGCTTTTGTGTTTACATTGCTTTAATTGGTGAACGAAGTTTTATTATAAATATACTCTTCCAATTTTGGTAATTGGGTTGTTTTTATTTTGTAATCGAGTCCGTCGACCGACTCAATTTTACGTTTTCTCGAGCATTCATAACCCCTACAGTACGAAAAAATAGGTCTCCCGTTCCCCTTTGTCTGTCTGTCTGTCTGTCGGTCTGTTGGCCATCTATGCCTATCTAATCATCCTACTAACAATGTGATGACGTCACTTCAAAATTGTGCAGAATAAATGTGCTTTAAGTTTTATTAAATAGCATACTCTTCCGTATAGTTTATGAATCCATGTTGATTTTTTGCCCGAAACATCCATATTTTTGAAAAAAAAAAATCAAAAATGTATGCCAAAATTTTGCAATTTAATTTTGAAACTGCAAAACCAAATGCTCTAAAATTGAAAAAAATTACACTAGACATTACGATTAGTCTTTCAAAAATTTCTTCAAAAAGTAAACAATTCCAAAACCTTATTAAATTCTTTCTAAAAAACAAAATAACTGAGGTCCCCGACATCTTTCAAATATTTCCAAAAATAAAACATCAGAGGCATGCGAGATTTTTCAAATTTTTTCAAAAAAGACATTAGGCGCCATCAGGATTCTTTCATATTTTTCAAAAATAAAATACAAAGACGTCAATATTTTTTTAAATTCTTTCAAAAACAAAATATAGGAGACTCGTAAGATTTTTTACTTGGAGATTTTTTTTCAAATTCTTTCAAAACAATTTCAGAAAAAAGATAATAGACGGCACCAAGATTCTTTCAACTTTTTCCAAAATCAAAACACAAGAACTTCCAAGATTTTTCCATATTTTTTTAAAAACAAAGCACAAAGCACACCAAGGATTTTTTCACATATTGCAAAAAACACGATTGACCAAGTCGATTTTTTTAAGATCCTTTCAAAATTCGAGAAAAAAGACACCAGACGCAGACAAGATTCTTCTAAATTTTTTCAAAAGCAAAACACAAGAATTCCCAAAATCGTTTCAATTTCAAAAACTAAAGACTAAAAACTTCTAAGATTATAATGCAAGAGGTAGGTTTTTCATTGTTTAAAAAACACTACGGAGTTTTATGATTTTTTTAACGTTTTGAAAACAATACAACTGGGATTCCCTAGATTCTATGAAAAATTTCCAAAAATAGAGCACAGGGACCCCGAAGATTCTTTCACACATATTTGAAAAAAAAAATTAGAGACCTCGCAGATTTTTCCAAATTCTTTTCTGAACGGATTTTAGAAAATTTACACTAATCGCTACAAACATTCTTTTAAAATTCTTTCAAAAACAAAACACAATGGGCCTTTCTGATTTTCTCGTATATTTTAAAAAAAGAACTTTGGGAAACAAAACAACTTATCCTCGAGATCCTTTCAAATTATTAATAACTGAGTCCCCAAATATTTTCAAAAATATAACACCAAACCTAGAGATTTTTGAAAAATGTTTTCAAAAATAAAACGCAAAGGACTTCTAAGATTGTTTCACATATTTTAAAAAGCACAATGGACCCCTTAGATTGCTCACCATATTTTAAAAAAGGGTTTCCCAAGATTCTTTCAAATATTTTCAAAAATAAAACACCAGAGGTCATCGCAATTTTTTCAAAAAAGAATTTCAAAAAAGAATTTCAAAAAATTACGCTGGACATCACTAGTTTTCCAAAAATTTCTTCAAAAAGAAAACAATTCCAAAATCTTACTAAATTCTTTCTAAAAAACAAAAGAACCGAGGTCCCCGACATCTTTCAAATATTTTCAAAAATAAAACAGCAGAGGCATGCGAGATTTGTTCAAATTCTTTCAAAAATAAAATATAAGAGACTCCTAAGATATTTTCACATATTTTAAGGGGCGCAAGTGGATTTAAGTTTCTTTTAAACATTTTGAAAATCGAAGGAACTGAAGCCTCAGAAGTTTTTTCCAATTTTTCCAAATATAAACAAGCAGGGGGCTGCAATGACTCTTTCATATTGTTAAAAAGAAGGCAATAGAAGTTCTTAAGCTTCTTATCCAATATTCAAAAAAAAATAAAATACTGGAGGCCCGAGATTTTTTTTCTAATTCTTTCTAAACAATTTGAGAAAAAAGATAATAGACGGCACCAAGATTCTTTCAACTTTTTCCAAAATCAAAACACAAGAACTTTCAAGATATTTCCAAATTTTTTCAAAAACAAAACACAAGGGACACCAAGGATTTTTTCGCATATTTCAAAAAATACGATTGACCAAGTTGATTTTTTTAGGATTCTTTCAAAATTCGAGAAAAAAGACACCAGACGCAGACAAGATTCTTCTAAATTTTTTTAAAAGCAAAAGACAACAATTCCCAAAATCGTTTCAATTTCAAAAACTAAAGACTAAAAACTTCTAAGATTATTTCACACATTTAAAAAATATGTATAATGCAAGAGGTAGGTTTTTCATTGTTTAAAAAAACACTAGGGAGTATTAGGATTTTTTTAACGTTTTGAAAACAATACAACTGGGATTCCCTAGATTGTATGAAAAATTTCCAAAAATAAAGCACAGGTGCCCCGAAGATTCTTACACACATTTTTGAAAATAAAACACTAGAGACCTCGCAGATTTTTTCTAATTCTTTTCTGAACGGATTTTAGAAAATTTACACTAATCGCTACAAACATTCTTTTAAAATTCTTTCAAAAACAAAACGCAATGGACCTTTCTGATTTTTTCGTATATTTAAAAAAAAGAACTTAGGGAAACAAAACAACTGATTCTCGAGATCCTTTCAAATTATTAATAACTGAGTCCCCAAATATTGTCAAAAATATAACACCAAACCTTGAGATTTTTGAAAAATTCTTTCAAAAACAAAACACAAAGGACTTCCAAGATTCTTTCACATATTTTAAACAGCACAATGGACCCCTTAGATTGCTCACCATATTTTAAAAAAGGGTTTCCCGAGATTCTTTCAAATATTTTCAAAAATAAAACTCCAGAGGTCACCGAAATTTTTTCAAAAACTATTTCAAAAAAGAATTTGAAAAAGTTACGCTGGACACCACGACAAGTTTTTCAAAAATTTCTTCAAAAAGAAAACAATTCAAAACAATTTGAGAAAAAGATAATAAACGGCACCAAGATTCTTTCAACTTTTTCCAAAATCAAAACACAAGAACTCCGAAGATCTTTCCAAATTTTTTCAAAAACAAAGCACAAGGGACACCAAGGACTTTTTCGCATATTTCAAAAAATACGATTGACCAAGTTGATTGTTTTAAGATCCTTTCAAAACTCGAGAAAAAAGACACAAGATTCTTCTAAATTTTTTCAAAAGCAAAACAAGAATTCCCAAAATCGTTTCAATTTCAAAAACTAAAGACTAAAAACTTCTAAGATTATTTCACACATTTAAAAAATATGTATAATGCAAGAGGTAGGTTTTTCATTGTTTAAAAAAACACTAGGGAGTATTAGGATTTTTTTAACGTTTTGAAAACAATACAACTGGGATTCCCTAGATTGTATGAAAAATTTCCAAAAATAAAGCACAGGTGCCCCGAAGATTCTTACACACATTTTTGAAAATAAAACACTAGAGACCTCGCAGATTTTTTCTAATTCTTTTCTGAACGGATTTTAGAAAATTTACACTAATCGCTACAAACATTCTTTTAAAATTCTTTCAAAAACAAAACGCAATGGACCTTTCTGATTTTTTCGTATATTTAAAAAAAAGAACTTAGGGAAACAAAACAACTGATTCTCGAGATCCTTTCAAATTATTAATAACTGAGTCCCCAAATATTGTCAAAAATATAACACCAAACCTTGAGATTTTTGAAAAATTCTTTCAAAAACAAA